TCCAGGCCAAAAATGCAAAATACAACAAAATAAATTACATACCAGGATCCGAGTGCTACTGTACTCTTCATTTCCTACCCTTCTTGTTGATTGCATGCATGAGGTTTATAAAGTTTGCAATTTTATGAATCTCCAGGGCAAAATGGTCCCAAGGTGGGCTAGATCTGGCCTTTGGTCGAGTAAGGACACCATACAAGGGTTTTAGGGCATATTTCTCTCTTTTTGGACATTTTGATCTAGGGACATGCATGTCCATAAAACCTCCACCTTTGGAATGTTGTGAGGACTAGAAAGCTTTCTTTAAAGGAAGGATTTCAGATCCCTGGAGTTTTCGACCATATGGTAAAACTTTGGAGCTTTCCAACCTTTACTAAGGACCTTAGAGCATTTGGAACGACTTTAGAAGGTAAAGTTGGAAACTTTATCCTTCTAGACACCTTAGGGCTTCAGATCTAAGCCCTGGAATCGTTGTATTCGGTGTATAATCACAACAAGCAAACAGGAAGGGGGACTCGGCGAGTTCCCCTAGCAACTCAACGAGTCGGGTTGGGTTTCCTCGTTTTCTGTATATATCAAGCGAACTCGGCAAGTTAATGAAACAACTAGGCGATTTGGCTAGGGTTCGATCAGGTCTTTTGGACACGGAAGGAACTCGACGAGTTGGAGTTAACATGGACCGTTGACTTTGACTGATGACCTTGGTTTTGACCAAGGTTGACCACGGTTGACTTCGGGAGTAGTTTTGGGTTTATGACAAGTCTATCTTTTGTTGCTTTTAGACGGTTGAGTTGGAGCAGCATGTGGGACATATCTGAGTATAGTTTGCCAGTTCAACATATTTGAGATGTGAGTCTCCTCACCATGCCAATGAGTCGAAGGCACCAAGGCCGGGCCATTAATTGTTACGTATGTGCTATTGAGTTTTGTGATATGCAATGTACTAGTTGTATCTGTGAACCTTGTATGGAAGACCTTGAGGGTTCCCAGGGTACTTAGGTATAAGACCGTGGAGGGTTTCTATGGCATCCTAGGCAAAGACCTCGGGGGAGGGGGGGTTCCCGAGGCACTTAGGTGTAAGGGGTTGTTTGGTAGGATCTGAATTTTCAAGAGGTCTGAATTTTAAGGTCTGAACTTTTAACATGTTGTTTGGATGACACCTCTGAATTTTAATCTGAATGATGAAAATGACAATTTTACCCTTTTATAGTCATGTGTTGTGCTAATGATAAATACATAATTCATAAAAATTACAAGTGATCATACAATAACCAAATTAAACATAAATTCTTTCAAATTCACTTCTTTCAATCTATTGAAACTTAAACATCATACAATTTAACCAAATTATATATAAATTCTTCCAAATTCACTTCTTTTAATCCATGGAAACATAAACATAATATAATAACAAAAAAAACACCACCATTAATAAATACCACCACCAATCCCATATGTCTTGAACCCAAATGTCTACAAATTTTTTGAACCAAATCCTTTTACTTCCTGCACATTTAAGAAACAATAAAAATCACATGAACTAATGATTCCAGATAAACAAGTCATATGAACTATTGATTTCAGCAACAAACTTTTCAACACATATCAAGAGAAATCATAAGACCATCAAAATTTTCATAAAGAGAATATATGAGCATCGGATGAAATCAGCAAACAATTTCATCAAAACATCATCAATTTCAACAAGAAATTGCCGATTAGCAACATGTACACAAGTTAATAATCAGTTTATAGGCAAAGAAACTGAAATTAATGCTCCTAATAACAATTTTATCAAAATGTATACATACACCAACACTTAAAACCCAATCCAAATCTGGTATAAGCTAAACATTCCAGAAAAAACATATTCAGCTCTTATTATTAAGTTTTAGGGTAAAGAGGAAGAAAGTCTCACCTACAACCGGAGGGGTTTTCGAAAGCAAAGTCGCTGGTGGATGGAGCAACTCGTTATCTCGGAGAAGAATGGAGTTGCAGGGACTAGCGGTAGCGACCGAAGAGAGACGATGTAGAGAAGCGAAGAGTTGATTATGCGCACAACTTGAGAGGCGAGAGAGAAAGAATCGATGAGTAGTGGGTTGGAGGGGTTGATTGTCATTGGAGATTGTCGGACACACAGTGGCAGTGGTCGACTGATATCGAGGGGATAGCAGAGGGTTGTAGTCGTACGATCGGAAATGCAGTTGGAAGGATGGGTCGGCATTTGTGAAAGAAGGAAAAGAGGAAAGAAGTGGAGTAGCAGGGCAAAAGAGGAACACACGTCGTTTTTTTTAATTCAGACACGCCCCAATATCTTAAAAATTAAAAGGCAATTCCCAAATTAAGAGCTATAAATTCAGATATTACCAAACGGTCTAGATCTTAAAAATTAAGAGATTGCCTCTTAATTTTCCAATTAAGAGACTATCAAACAAGACCTAAGACCAACAATTAATTAATGAATATTCAACCCTTTAATTAATTAAACTGTTTAATTAATTCCAAAATATTTTACAATTAGTTTCTAATTAATTATTAACCATAATAATTAATAAATTAATTTCCTCTTTATTTATTCTATTCAAAATCCAAAAAAAAAATGACTTTGTTATTATTAGAAATATTACAAATAATTAATAATATTTGACATTATTTCTAGTAGTACGATCAGTTTTAATACGGTTCGTTTTCATACGGTTGCAGTTCGGTTTTTAACTGCATAGATTTTGTGCAATTTCTTTTTTCTGCATTTTTATATCACGATTAAACATTTCATATTTCACATATGACATAACTTGTTTGGGCATTTAAGACTTTCTTTTCGTGGTTTTAAGAACTCAAAGACTATTTAGTCGTTATAATAATAAAAAACAATAAGACAATAACTCAAAACACTACCAATGGTATTCAACCTTAGTTTGAATTATGGTGTGGTGATCAATTGATTCAATATTCCGCTCAAAGTTTCAGTATAATATCATTTTTTAACAAGTAATATATTAATAATTAAGTACTAAATAATTAATTGTATAAAAATATTTATTTAATGTATAAAAATCAGTGCGTTTAGTTTTTTATTTACAGTTCGGTTTTTACAGTTCGATTTTTAGCGGTTTTTCAAAACTAAAAACACCACACCAAAAAATTTCGTTTTTTGCTAAATAAAAACAGCATCATTGGTTTCCTTTTCGATTTTGATTTTTTTAGTGGGAAAATGACTTGATAGCGTAAGATACTTTTAGAAATGTACACATTTAGTCCTTTTTTTTTTTTTTTTTTTTTGTAAAATAAACCCTTATATATATATATATATATATATATATATATATATATATATATATATATATATATATATTTGTAACAATGCGATCCTTGTGACCGGCTATACCCGGTATACCGGTCATATACAAATTTTATTTTAGGGAAAATGACTTGATAGGTAAGATACTTTTTGAATTATACACATTTAGTCCTTATTCTTTTTTTTTTTGTAAAATAAACCCTTATACTTTATTAATATGTACACATTAGGTCATTTTCACCGGATTCTACAGGTTTTGCTGATGTGGAAGCACAAGTGGCACTAAATAACAATTAATTAGCTTAGTCACCGGAGGTGGGTGATCCTCCAGCAACAAAAAAAAGGACGGCGACCCTTCTCTTTCTCGTCTCTCTTCCTTCCGGTCGAACATCAACAGTCAAACACCCTTTACCTGTTGTGTTTCTCCGATCTGTCTCTCTTTGTCACCATCTTTGAGATATGTTGCCAGAAAAAGAAGAAATAATCGACGAGGGGCTACCAGAGCAGCTCCTCACCGCCAACTACCGTCTCTACGTCCTCCTGCCTCCCCCTTCGACCTTGTTGTTTTTGCCATCATTCCTCCTTGCTACCAGTGATGTGTAGGAACACACAAATGAGTCGGCGAAGATCGGAATTCTCCCTCTTTTTCATGATGAATAAAAGTTGGAAAAATCCCGTTGTGGATATGTGGATGCCACCTGAGTATTTCATTTCAACAAAATAAAAGAAAGGGAAAATGACTTGATAGGGTAAGATATTTTTTGAAATGTACACATTTAGTCTTTATTCTTTTTTTACCACGTCAGCAAAACTTGTAAAATCCAATGAAAATGACCTAATGTGTACATATTAATAAAATATAAAGGTTTATTTTACAAAAAAAAAAAAAAAGAACTATGTACATTTCAAAAGGTAATATATTAATAATTAAGTAATAAATAATTAATTGTATAAAAATATTTATTTAATATATAAAAATCAGTGCGGTTAGGTTTTTTATTTACAGTTCAGTTTTTAGCGGCTTTTTCAAAACTAAAAACAACACCACACTCTTATGGATTTTTTGAGTTTTTCAGTTTATGGATTTTTTTTTTTTTTTTTTTTTTTTTTTTTTTTTTTTTGTAGATTAGTTTTTGTTCGCCCCTAGTTAGTAGTTATTACTGTGAGAAAGGTTGTTTTGCAAAATTAAAGTATTTTCACAAAACCAATTTTGCAAACTAGATAGCTTATTTTGTGATAAATGTGCAAAACATGGTTATTTTGTGCGCACTCTTATTTTGGTTGTTTTTTAATTAGCGCTAAAATAAAAGAATTGATGCCAAAATCAATTTCATATAATTATTAGGATTCAAATCAAACAATACAAAACAAAATTCTTCCAAAAAATATTACGTTTATTTTAAGATAAAACATTCCATATAATAAAATGGCTTCAAGCAACCACTAGATATGCTTAAATTCGGTACTTTAAGCCCCCTTTATTTGCCTTCATATCGTAAACTAAAAGCCAACACAATTTATAACCCAAAACATGCAATGCTTGCACCTTTCACTCATCTTAAATTCCCTATTCAAAGTTTCAAACCCCCAAAACGTGACCAAAGTTATCTATTCCATCTTTTGACCCATAAAACAAGGGCAACAAGTCCTTATATTTGGTCTTTTTAGGCAGTGACAAAGCACATGAGAGTTTAACAAGTGTCATATTATCTTACTTAGTTTTCAACATTAGAATAGAAAGTAGAAACTACAATTACTTCCATTAAGTGTGTTTCATGGCCATAAGTCACCTCTCATGCACTCAACCTCTAATCATTTAATCTCACTAGCAATCAATCTCCTCTATATAAACCAATCACCAAGTTCATAACTTTCAATCACAAACAAAATCCAAGAAAACTAGCAAAAAAATGGAAATTAGTAAGTTAGTCTTACTTTCACTTGCATTGTTTTTAGTTCTAGGCTTTGTGATGGGATTTGATTATAGCGAGAAAGAGCTTGAAACAGAGGAGAGTTTGTGGGATTTGTACCGGAGATGGAGGAGCCACCACCACGTGGCGGAGATAGGCCGCCAAGAGAAACTCAAGCGGTTCAATGTGTTCAAGTTCAACCTGCAACATGTTCACAACACAAACAAGATGAAAAAACCTTATAAGTTAAAGTTGAACAAGTTTGCTGACATGACTAACCATGAGTTTAGAAGCGTGTATGCTGGATCAAAGATTAGCCATCACCGGATGCTGCAAGGAGCGCGTATTGGAAGTAAGGGTTTCATGTATGAAAATGACGATAATGTCCCTGACTCGGTTGATTGGAGAAAGGAAAATGCAGTCACCCCTGTCAAGAATCAAGGCCGATGTGGTAACACTAACAACTTCTTTTCCTCTTGTGTGTTAGGCTATGTTTCTTTATTTCCATGATAAGTGTTGTATGAATAAATGATATTGGGTATGTATTACAGGAAGTTGCTGGGCATTTTCAACTGTGGTTGCAGTAGAAGGAATAAACCAGATCAAAACCAAGAAACTAGTATCCTTATCAGAACAAGAACTTGTGGATTGTGACACTGGTGAAAACCATGGATGTAATGGAGGACTAATGGACATGGCATTTGATTACATTAAAAAGAACGGAGGTCTAACTACTGAAGATAACTACCCTTACACAGCTGCAGATGGAAGTTGCAACAAAGCAAAGGTAAAACTTCTGTTTGAAAGATCCCAGGGATGAAAACTTGTGAATCGGATGTACATGTGAATCGATTTTGGAATTACAGGTGGGAAATCAAGTAGTAACGATTGATGGACATGAGGATGTGCCAGTTAATGATGAGGATTCTCTAATGAAAGCAGTTGCAAACCAGCCTGTATCTGTTGCCATTGATGCTGGAAGTTCTGATTTCCAGCTCTATTCAGAGGTATCTCAAAACTCACATAGACAGATGACATATAATTTGGTTTGGAAACCTGCAACACAAAAATCAAAGCGGAAACCAAATAAATATGTTGATTTTTCGAGTCCAAATCACCAACTGAACGCCCTTAAGTTATCCTAAATCGCTCGTTTATGGTTTTTATTTGGACTTTTACGAAAACGAATTTGTTTACGATTAAAAAACCTATATATGAAGGTTTAAAAGGTAAATCAGCAGTTAATGATACGATTTAACAGGGAGTTTTTACCGGAAAGTGTGGAACGGAGTTGAATCATGGAGTAGCGGTGGTTGGGTATGATACGAGCGACGACGGAACCAAGTACTGGATAGTGAAGAACTCGTGGGGAGCAGATTGGGGAGAGAAGGGATACATACGGATGCAACGCGGAATTTCTGACAAGAATGGGCTCTGCGGCATAGCAATGGAGGCTTCTTATCCTGTTAAGAACTCTGATACAAACCCCAATTCATCATCGATCAGGGATGAACTCTAGAAGAAATGAATAATTGAATTCTTATGTGATCTCAATACTAATTGTATGGCTATGATGGTATATGATTACGAGTTTGATTTTTATCATCAAATAACTGGGCATTTGGGCTGGAGTATATTTTCTCTTGGAACCAATTATTAGATTACTTTGACTTCGATCATATTACCATAGGTTAACTAACGAATCAGGTGGTCTTTCCAAGGTTGAGGTTTCAAGCCTTGGTGTATGTAAGTGTTAGTTTAGGAGTAGTTATATATTATATTTGCCAGTTAAAAAAAAAAACTAACGAACCAGGTAATTAGGTTTCGAATTTTTTCACGTTAATGTATTTTTTTTTTTTTTACATATTACACCAATATGGTTGTTATAACCGTTTAACTATCGTCACTTTAAACGTTAAGGGGCCGACATTTAAACAGTTATATAATTATATTTGAGTAATATGTATAAATAAAATACCTTAAGGTCCTAATATGGATAAATTTGAAACATTATTACCCTCCTAGGTCATTAATCATTCTAAAAGAGATTAGAGATACAAGATTTGTCGGGATACTCCATTACTTGTCGAGAATATCTCATTACTTGTCGTGGATACTCATTTACTTTGATTATGACTCTGTCACTGGCTGAATGTGACATGCTCATTTTCACGGTCAGAAAAAAACCGATTTTGTTTGTGATTTATAAAAATCAGAGTACATCTTTTAATAGAAATGTTGCGGAATTTGTTCCTAGTAAAATATGATAAATACGTTACCAAGGCATTTCCGAAGAAAAGTATTTTTATTTATTTTAAAACATTTGGGATGTTATCGTCAATACAGAAACATAAGTATAAACAGAACTTACATTCATTATCAGTAGTGATTTATATCTCCTTAATCTCTCAGTATAATGTGACTTCATATCAACACCTGTGATATAAATAAACTGAGTGGGTCAGGTTGGGAAACCTGGTGAGTACATAGGGTTTTCAACCCACAATAATATAATTATTATGTTTAATCTTCAAACAATTAATCAACCCAATTACCCATCTCCATTATCTTCTTTACCCTTAAGAATCTACCCTAAAAATCATCTATTCCTCGTTCATTTATTCCTAAGGATTATCCTAAGAAATTGGCACAAAGTCCATCGTCACCGGGATTAGGCACTAAGTCTGCATAGTCGTCAGGGTTTATACAACAGGCACTAAGTCTGCATAGTCACCAGGGTTTATACAACAGGTATTAAGTCCGCATAGTCGCCAGGGTTTAGGTACTAAGTCTACATAGTCACCAGGGTTTAGGCATCAAGTCTGCATGATTGCCAAGGTTTAGGCACTAAGTCTATATAGTCGCCAATGTTTAGAGTACACTGAATGAACACATCGTTCACAACACCTACAGGTTGCGAGCCTACTAATGTTCCACCGGACTGTCTAGAATAGTCTGTGGTTGTCATCTATACTCTGCTAGATGATGGGTAAGGGTGAGCATGGTGCGGTTCAGTGCGGTTTTTGGCCAAAACCGAACCGAAAACCGCAACTTCGGTTTTTTGAAATTTAGAAACCGCACTGTTCGGTTTTTGCGGTTTTTTATTGCGGTTCGGTTTTTTTTGCAGGTTTTTGTTAGTTTTTTTTTTTGTTTTTGTTTTCCCTTTTTACTCAAACTCAAGTAACTCAGTGAGTTACTTTGACTCATATGAGGAGTGTTAATCATTTATTGGAGATAAACCGATACCACCACTCTTGGTTTAAAATCAAATTACATAACCACTCACGATAATATCAATTAATGTATTAATAAAAATGATACTATATCACTAGTACTTTTCATATTTAAATGTTAAAAAAATATCATAAACATTATTTGTTATTGTAAATACCACTGAATGTATGCTTAAAAATATACAATAATCATCCGATAGATACGATAGATATTTACATTTATAAAAAATTTAATTGTCATAAGTTCTTGGTTCTTACAAATATCAACACTTTATATATATATATATATATATATATATATATATATATATATATATATATATATATATATATATATATATATATACGGTGCGGTTCGGTTTTCTTACGGTTTTTGCGAGACTAGAAACCGCACTGCACCGAGTATTTTCGGTTTTTGCAAAAATAAAAACTGCACCATCGGTTTTCATTTCGGTTTCGGTTTTTCGGTTTTGGTTTATGCGGTTTTTTTGGTTTGCGGTTCGGTTTTTGCTCACCCCTAATGACGGGTCCATCATTTGGGTAAAAGGCTTCTCTCATTGTTCACCTCTCACCCTTATCTCATGGTCTATATCACCTCTCATCTCATCATCCGAATCATATTTCATCTACCCATGTTTTACCAAACATATTTTGTAGATATAAAATACATATATAGTTTAATTCATTTAAAGCATGTACAAAATCATTTATCCAGCATAGACAACAAGTATGAAGCCTACTCCGCACCTGCTGAATCCTCTCAGTCATCTTGAGCACCACTTTGGTGCTCCCCATGACCCTCTGGCCAACTTCTCCCTAACATATCGGGGTCCTGCACCTTCTCCCGTATAACATCTCGAAGGGAGGACGGTCAATACTTGCGTGGTAGATGTTGTTGTATGAGAACTCGGCCAAAGGAAGATAAGTATCCCAACTACCACTGAAGTCTAACACGCACGCCCGCAACATATCTTCCAGAGTTTGGATGGTCCACTCACTCTGACCATCTGTCTGCGGGTGAAAAGCGGTGCTAAAATGCAGACGAGTACCCATCTCATCATGGAACTTCTTCCAAAACTTGGAAGTAAACCGTACGTCTCTATCTGAAATCACGGAGACTGGAACTCCATGCCGCGCCACCATCTCTCGGATGTAGATATCAGCCAGCTTCTCTGACGAGATACTCTCCTGGATTGGTATGAAGTGGGCGCTCTTGGTCAACCGATCCACGATGACCCATATAGAATCCACTCCCCGTGTGGTCCTAGGAAGCTTGGTGATAAAATCCATCATCTGGCAGCAATGGGGTCCTTCGTCCCATGGAAATCTAGCGCACCACTGCCCCTGAAGTCCTTAAAGGACAGTGTGCGAGATCCTGACTGCCCAGATGCCAGGTCACTCCTAAATTCCCTGAGGCGGTCCTCCATTAGCTCAACTATTCCTTCCTTGATCGACCCGAAGATGATGGGGGTCGACTCAAGGATACCTCTGGTGATCTCTGACGCTAAGAACTCACGTAGCCCCTCATCTACTGGCTCGAAACCTGATCTCGAACCCGATCCCTCTCCTGAGCTGCCAACTGCTGGCCTCGAACGTAGTACCACCATTCTGCAATAATTAATAACAACCGTTAGTGATATTGATACCTCTTGAGGGATCACATCTACTACAAGTTCCTTGATCTTATCTCGGCCTTCCTTAGTTCGGGTACGGATCCTCTGCTTTCAGTAGTACGGGCCCATACTACCTTCCAAATCTATCCGTGCCTTTTTCAAGGACTATTCAACCTTGATCACATGGGGTGGGGCTCAAATAATCCTTCGAGTAAAAGACTCGTCCCCACAATGGTTAAACTCAAACGAGAGCTGCGCAATAGGGCCAATTCCAGCACTCTGAGATTATTCAACGCTGATCACATGAGATGTGACGTATTCACCTAATGGCTAACTCTCATTGTTCAGAGTCCCACAATGCACAAAGCAAGTATCATTCAAACAAAAGGGAACAACTCCCTTAAATGAAGTATGATGATATTTCTGAAGTTTCTGGAGTTGTGTCACAAAAATGTGATCGCAGATATAGCTTATACGATTGCAGAAATTGATTTTTTCCCAGATGGATTTTACAACTATGCAAAACCTCGACATAATTATGCGATCACAGTAACCAAAAATGTGATCATAGAAATGGCTTTTCGCCTCAATTCGGATGTGATTCTTTAGCTTAATCATTCCAAGTTATTTCTTAGCATCCTTCTTTAGTTCCAACTCCATTTAGGCTTCAAATATACATCAAGCTGCTCCTAAAGTATCCCTCCGCTCGAATTATCTGAAAACAACACAAAAACGCTAGCAGTTCGAGAATTCTGATAAAAGACATGAGTTGAACATTATTTACACTATTGACATGCAAATTTACAAAATATGATGCTAAATGTTAATAAAAACTACCCAAAAGATGCATAAAATGACATTTATAATCCCCTCCCTCTTTGAGGCCAAGGGTTTAAGTCTCGTCGTGGACATATGTGAAATTAGGTGTTAGCTTAGGAGTATATTAGATTTTCTGATTCTATTTTTTTTTTACCCGAAGCCATTTGATTCATATTAGTTATATTTATGTAGAAAGACGACAAACGCTTTGTTCTCCAATATTAGTGAAATGGCCAAAGATCTATTATAACTCTCACACACACACACACACATAAACATATGTATGTATGTGTGTGTGTGTATATATATATATATGTGTGTGTGTATGTGTGTGTGTTAGGAGTTCCATACATACATACATACATACATATGAGTTAGTTTTTCTTGGAACTCCTAACTCATATGTATGTACATATATGTTAGTTTTTCTTGGAACTCCTAACATATATGTTAGAATTCTAACATATATGTGTTAGGAGTTCCATACATACATACATACACACACACATACATACATACATACATATGAGTTAGGAGTTCCATACATACATACATACATATATGTGCAGACCTTTTAGAATTGCCAAAAGAGATTGATACAATTACTTCGTTACATTTTACTAATGACTTCGGTAAATATAATTATGTACAATACCGAGGCATAAACATGAAATCTTTGTAACTTTTAAAACTTTTCATAATGGAATAAAGAATCAACTCAGTAAGAACATAAAATCCATTTTACCTGATAGCGGTAGTAAATATATGAGTTAGGAGTTCTAAGAAAAACTAACAATTTATAGGATTGACTTGGAATTCACTCTGAATGGAACACCACCTTATGCTAGAAAATGCCTTTGATGATATACGAACAATGACATACAATGTTTCATAACAGACAAAAAAACATTTGTCATAAAATTATGCCATCTGTTATCAAATTTAGAAGGTTTATGATAGTAATAAATGTATGTCGTCAAATGATGTCATCTTGTATTAAAATTCATGACATACATTAATATATGTCATTGATTACGGTTATAAAAAAAAAAATTTTAAAAATACAGGACACTCTTTCATTTTTATGTGTTATCTTAAAATAATGTCATGCCGTCTTATTTCCCGATGTAGCATTTTTCATCAACTTCAAAAAGTCATTTAATGTATCCTCGATCTCCAAGCAATTTTGAGTTTTTGGTACAAGAAATCGACTACTCACAAGAAATCTACATCCTAGATTTAAACATCCCACTCGCCGTACTCATTTTCATTCTCCCTTCAATTGTCTCTATTTACCGTAAAAAAGCTAAAAGAGTGCTTAAGAAAAAGGTAACCTTTGTCTCTTTGGTTGTCTACTTCATCTTAACTTTTCAGCTCTTTTACATGATTTTCTTGATGTTTACTATTTTGTAGGGATGTGAAATTATATAGTTTGTGATGGTTTTCATGTGCTTATTTTTTTTTAGCTTAGTTATTTTTGTTGCTTACAACTTGATTCGTTCGACTTTTATTTTTTTTTGAGATTTATGTAGAGTTATTTCTAATTTATTTATGGGTCTGTGTGGTGTTTAATATGACATTTGCTTTTAATTAAAACTAGTAAAGAAGCCCGTGCGTTGCACGGATCAGATTTTTTTGTTGACGTTTAGTGAAAGTGGAATTTAATAAACAAAGGTGATTATGTATTCAAATCAATATTAGTGTCATCCATAATAAAAAAATAATATTTTTTACCCATAGCCAACATTTTGTCCTCTTATAAATCTTAACATATCTAATTTTGGTTGCATGTAAAATACATACTTGTTATAATAATATAAATAATCTGATTCAATTCCCCACCACAACATACTTTCATGTATATTTTTCTCATATCATCTTATAAATTTTGTCCCACTGCAACATGCTACTTTGAAAGATTTACCAAATTACAACATTGTAATTAGAAAAAAAAAAATGAAGGTACAAAAGTGCAGTTGGGTCATTTTCCATTCGGATCATGGTTCTATGTGTACTTATGGCCTACAGGCCATTTTTGTTACTAATCACATGGGAAAACAACTTCTGATAAGCTTGAACAATAGCTTATAGGTGATCAGCTTAATCTTTCATATCTTTCAGATAACTTCAAATTCAACATGAAATTGCATATCGGATTAGATTGACCAAACAAATTAAGCCTTAAAAAACCCTTCAATTGACAGAAAATATAGCAAAAGACATAAATACCCTTAAGGAATCATACCTTAAGAGTCTACTTTGAGGACCTAACATAAGGTTTATTTGATTTAAACTGCACAATCCGACATAATTATAAGATACAAATTATATTAATAATTAAATTGACAATTATAATGTCATAAACTATAGGAATATTATCTTAAAATCAAACATACACATTCAGAAAGATCATCTAGGCAGTCATAAACTACATATAAGGGATACACTTTGGTAATTTCCATCAAGATCCATCTGGCAACCTAAAGCAACAAAAAGAAACTCACTAATTAAAATTTGTTTGTTAATAAAAGATATTTTTATTTGGGTTTTTCGGTATTCAATGTTAGTTCTTCTCGTTGTATTTTGCCTTAACATATTGAATTTTTTCGTAAATAATATTAATTCTTCTCATTGTAATTTTTACATTTTTAAACTTGATTTACACAATTGAAAGTGAGTTACTCATTACCTTTCATGGACAAACTCACAAACATATTTCAACATACAAAATAACGGAAAAGGAAGCCTATAAATCAAGCTTTTTTTTTTTTGTCTCTTTTACATTTTACGGCCCAAATTTAATAAACGTACAAGGCCCACAAACTGTCAACACCAACTCCGTGAATAATTTTTTTTAGCAAATGAAAGGGTAGTTCTATCTTTTCACAAATTTAATTAGGTGCAGGAAGTTGATTAGAAAACCTCAATCGGATAGAAAGTTAGTTATAAAGGGCATCTTCAGTTGAAATTAGTATTAACCATCAAAAGTGTAGAAAACATTTGATCCAACAGGCTGCAGTACAACTTTTTGCATCAAAATGTCCTCAAAATACAATCAATTTATTCCCGAATCAACTAAAAAAATGTAGAATGATAACAACAAAAACATAAAGGAGTCAAGTAAAAGGATTTATTTGGTCATACATCTTGACAAAGCATAACATCCTGGGTTGCAGTTTCTATATTAGTAGAATTTCCCAAATGCTGCTCATCACTTGAAGTTCCACCTAAGAAGTATTGAATTTTTATGAAAAGATGAAAACCTTCTTTCAAGCATTTTATCAAACAGTTGGGGTGTCTAATACAGAAGTAGCAAAGAAACAACAAATCACAACAACCACATATGACCTCCATCAGATACTAAAAATTTTCATCTAAGTTATTTTAATAACATCAAATTTAATATGAAAAAGTAGACATTTTTTAGAACAAATTATAGATTTTGCTGTGAAGTACAACCGAACCCGATTTACAACATTGGGTATATACAGGTCGATTCACACGAGAAAGGCTTACAACCCTTTTTGCAAACCAAAACAATGCTCCACAAAATTCATACACATAGGAACAATCACCACAATCATCAACCTCAAGAAGACTAATGGCCACAGAAGAATCACCAACCAAGGTAAGAAGACAATTACGCTTAGACGGACGTGAAAATGGAGGAAAACATACAGAAGAGGCATCAGAGCAACGGACCTTCCGCTTTGACATATATATAAACAAAGAAAACCAACAGAAATCGAAACAATGTCAAGCAAACACCGACAAACATGAGCAAGTAATAACGAAGATTGCATCAACAGAATAATACATAAGAGTAATTGCAGAGAAAAAAAAATACCTAGACAGGTTAACCGAAGAGAGAAAACAAAGAAGAAGCCGACAAAGGAAAATCGCAAGTCAGCATCTCATTAAGTTTTAGAGAGCAGGAAAACACCACATAAACACCAGGTCACCATTCCACCATGGTTTTGCGATTACCAAAGCATAGCCACCGACAAACCTCCCTCTTCAGGCGACGTACATACAAAATTAGAGAAGTAAGGGGAAATAAGTGAGAAAATAAATCAATAAAGGCATACAGTAAAAAGGAGAAGGAGGGTAACATGTAAAAATAGAATGAATTTTTTTTACCGAACGTACTGTTCCTAAGGGTATTGGGATTTAATTATATGTTTAATATTTAGATCTATGTTTTGTTTGAATCCCCATATGGATTTTGGTATAATTGATTTCAATTTTCGATAAGTAGTTTTTAATTATAATGAAATTATATCTGTCGTTTTTCCAACTTACAAAAGTTATAAACAACTCAACGTAGAGGTAGTTGGAGATACACTTTGAGCAATAGAAAGAGTACCGATAGGAGGAAGGGACAAGAGGAGGTTTAAGAACGTGTAACTTTAAAGAAATATTTGGACATCTTTGTTATATAAGCTTATTACAATTTCAGGAAGGAATCATATCGGGTGGCGGTGTTGTGTATGTGTGATGTAAGCAAAGATGGTAACTAAAAAACCATATGTTGTTTTAAGGGAAATCTCTAGAAAAGTACTATTATTTACGGAAAAATTACACTTTAGTTCCAATAATTTTTTTGAACGAAAAGGTCCTAAAAACCGGCAAAAATTTACAGTTTGACAATTTTTGACCGGTTGAAACCGGTACCAAATTAATTTGGGATTATTTCGTAAACTAAACCAAAATATTGAGATTTTTCTGTAAACAAGAATATTAGGATGTTTGTGCAAACAAAACCATTATTATTATTATTATTATTATTATTATTATTATTATTAAAATAAATAAGATTACTGTTTTTTGAACTTGTATTATTAATATTGTTAATAAAACATCTAAATGCATTTAAATGAAAAAATAATGCCATTGTTTAAGGGTGGAGGTGGAGGAGATGGTGATGTTTTTAGCATTGAAATCATTAACTTCTGCTTGTATATTTTTTTCTTTGTATATGATCATTTCACATTTGTTATTATTGTTTTCAATTCAGAATATTAATACGTAACAATTTAAAAGAAATTGTATATTTATAAAACTGTTTATAAATAGTTTAAGATAGAATGATTTCCCACTTTGTATATAAAATTGTTTAAGGTAGAAGAATTACTTTACAAATCCAATAGATTCACTACAAACATCTACATAGGTAGTCCATAATAATAATAATAATAATAATAATAATAATAATAATAATAATAATAATAATAATAATAATAACAATAATAATAATAACAATAATAATAATAATAATAATAATAATAATAATAATAATAATAATAATAATAATAATAATAATAATAATAATAATAATAAGAGTTTTGTTTGCAGAAAAGTCATAATATTTTTGTTTATAGAAACATGTCAATATTTTGGGTTAGTTTACGAAATAGCCCCAAATTAATTTAGTACCGGTTTCAACCGGTCAAAAAGGGTCAAATTGTAAATTTTTGTCGGTTTTCAGGACTTTTTCGTTCAAAAAAAATCCTGAGGCCGACAACAGCCATGGAGAGGGACATCCGAACCAGTGTGAGGTACAATAATACATCAGCTGAGATTTGGAAAGACTTGGAAGAGAGGTTTGAGAAGGAAGGTGTTCCACGGGCTTACGAGCTAAAAAATTCGTTGAACACTACAAGGCAGGACGGGACTTCGGTTTCATCCTACTACACGAAATTAAAAACCCTATGGGATGAACTGCAACTCGTTCTCCCAACACCAAGATGTACCTGTGATGGGTGTAATTGCTCTCTAGGAAGAAGATTGAATGAAGTGAAGGAAAAACAAAGAATTTATGAGTTTCTTATGGGGCTCAATGAGGAGTTCTCCATCATCCGAACCCAAATCCTTGCCATGAAGCCACCACCTTCCTTGGGGGCCACGTATCACCTGGTTGCTGAAGATGAACAACAACGCGCAATCACAGGTGGATCGAGAAAATCAGTTGGCGAAACAATAGCCTTCCAGGTGAACATGATGAACAAGAAGGCAACACGCACTACACAAGGGGTTCAAAGCACACAGATGGCTAACAAAGGATCACAACGAATCATGAAACAGAGTAGCAACAAGGCAGAAAAATGCATTTTTTGTGGAAAAGGACACAAAAGCGATGGGTGCTTCAAGAAGATAGGTTACCCTGATTGGTGGCCGGGAAAGAAAGACAAACCAAAGGCAAAAGCAGCTTGTGTAGAAGTTGGACCCAGCCCCATACTAGGGTTAGCGGATGAACAATATCGTCTTTTTGTTGCACACTTCCGAGAAGATGAGGCTCCTAAAGCTAATCTGGCAGGTAGAACTAACACGTATGATGGATGGGTGGTTAACTCGGGTGCAACTGAACACATCACCCATCGAAGTGACTTTCTTGATAACAGAGTCACAAACACCAAAGAAACACCTGTCATCATCCCTAATGGCGATAAGGTGCCCGTCATGGGTGAGGGTGAACACACCCTACCAGGAGGTGTCAAAATTGATGGCGTATTACATGTTCCTAATTTCAATTATAACTTGTTATATGTTAACAAACTTACAAGGAACCTTAATTATGCTGTAACTTTCTTTCCTGACTTCTTTGTTGTGCCGAAATTAGTGACGAGGGACATGATTGGTGCGGGTAACTGCATTGGGGGATTGTATCGAATGGGGGCAATGGAGAAGAAGGCTCTCGTGACAACTTTTGAGGTTTGGCACAAAAGACTTGGTCATCCATCACCCAAGAAGATTTCGAATTTAAATTTTGTTAGAGATGTTTCTAGGAATAACCAAACTAAAATGTGTGATGCTTGTTCTAAAGCTAAGCACACTGGGTTGCCATTTCCCATTAGTGAAATAAAGACTGTTTCTTGTTTTGAGCTTATACATTGTGATATTTGGGGAAAATATAGAATCTCATCCCTATCAAAGGCTCTCTACTTTTTAACAATAGTTGATGACTATAGCTGATCAGTGTGGACTTTTCTTATCAAACACAAACATGAAGTTGGTTTACATCTCATAAATTTTCACAAAATGGTGAAAACACAATTTGGGAAAGACATAAAACATATACGATGTGACAGCGGGGGAGAATTTATCTCTAAAAAATTTCCGACTTCTATGCCAAGAAAGGCATTGTTTTAGAAACCACTTGTCCATACAGCCCACAACAAAATGGGGGTGGTAGAATGCAAGCATCGACACTTGCTTGAAACAGCCCGTGGATTTTTATTTCAAGCAAACCTACCAAAAACCTTTTAGGGTGAGTGCATATTGACTACCACCTATGTCATAAATCGACTCCCCTCCAAGGTACTTCGTGGTCTCACTCCCTATGAGCTTATTTTCAACGAGTCACCAGATTATGATCATATGCGTGTCTTTGGATACTTGGCATACTATTGCAACACCGACACTATGGGAGATAAATTTGAACCACGAGGCAAACCAGGAATATTCCTTGGGTACCCTTAAGGGATAAAAGGTTATAAAATTTATGACATGGAAACCAAGAAGTTAGTGATATCAAGGTACGTGAGATTCCTTGAAAACGAGTTTCCCATGAAACATATACATGGAAACATGCAACCACTAGCCAACAGTGAAGATCTTTTTCGCTTTGCTAATAAGATCATCACACCCCCTAATCAAAACTCATCATTCGAGACTGTCATGCATGACGGTTTTATCGATGACAACAGCCCCATAAGTCATCCTGACTACAAACAACATACGACGAGTGTTGTAAATGATGTCTTTGGCGAAGTTGAAGATAATTATGTACCAACGAACCATCACGCCGCCAGTGAAACCAACAGCACTGATTAGCAAACCAGCAGCACCGATCAGCAAAGAGAAACCAGAAACAGGTCACAACCCACATGTTACAAAGACTATGAAGTGCAACTTCTCCCTTCGATAAATCATCCGCAATCTGTCATTGATCGAGTCGCCTCTACGGTACATCCTCTTACGAATTATGTCTCTTATAAAAAAATTTCTCAGTCTCACAAATCTTTTTAGCTGCCATCATCACCCACGATGAGCTTAAATTTCTTCATCAAGTAGTTCGAGACAAACGATGGAAAGGGGCAATGCAGATGGAAATTGAAGCCCTTAAGCAAAACAACACTTGGGAACTTACGAGTCTGCCAAAAGACAAGAGAGATATAGACTTTAAGTGGGTGTGCAAAGTGAAGTATAAGTCGAATGGAGAGGTGGAACGATACAAAGCACGCCTTGTGGCAAAAGGTTACACACAAATGGAAGGAGTCGACTTTCATGACACATTTGCCCCAGTTGCTCAACTCGTCACTGTTCGTGTTTTACTTACCATAACTATCAAGCATGACTGGATCATATCCCAATTAGACGTCAACAATGCATTTTTGCATGGCGATCTCAATGAAGACATTTGTATGAAAATACCACAAGGATTTAGAAGAGATAATGAGACACGTGTATGTAAGCTAAATAAGTCCTTATACGGCCTAAAACAAGCCTTGTGAAACTGGTATCACAAATTCACTGCTACCTTTCAAGATCTTGCTTTTCGACAGTCTCATGCTGATCACTTGCTCTTTATTCACAAAGACGGAGATATCTTTGTGGCAGCACTCATCTATGTTGACGATGTTATCATTGTGGGGAATGATAGAAAGAAGATAAAAGATACGAAGTCATGCCTTGACAAGATTTTAGTATTAAAGACCTTGGAACTTTGAACTACTTCTTGGGAATTGAAGTAGCTCGCACAAATGAAGCTCTAGTACTCAGTCAATGTAAGTACGCCATTGATGTGCTCGAAGATTCTGGCATGCTTGGCTGTCGGCCTAGTCGGTTTCCTATGGAACAAAATTTGAAGCTCGATAAAGGAGATGATGCTGACAATGTAGATGCAAGCACCTATCAACGCCTTGTTGGTAGGCTTCTCTATCTCCAAGCCACTAGGCCCGACATAACTTACAAAGTAAACGTGCTTAGTCAGTTTGTTTCTGATCCTCTCCAAAACCATTGGGATGCAACCATGCGAGTACTTCGATATCTGAAAAACACCTTGGGGCAAGGCATACTTTACCAAAGGAAGGAGACGTTAAGCTCACTGCCTACAGTGACTTTGATAGGTTGGGATGCCCCTTCTCATGGAGATCATGGACAAGATATTTGTTGATCTTAGGGGGTGCTCCAATCTCTTGGAAATCCAAGAAACAATATTCTGTTTCACGCTCCTCCGCTGAAGCAGAATACTGTGCAATGGTTGTCACGGTTAGTGAAATACTCTGGATTCATTGGTTGTTGGCTAATTTCGACATTGTTTTGGACAAACCCACTCCCCTTTTGTGTGATACTGAATCTGCTCGTCACATTACACACAATCTTGTTTTCCACGAGCGTACAAAGCATGTGAAAATTGACTGTTACTTTGTTAAGGAACGAGTTAAGTCTAAGGAGATTGCACCTGTCAAAATCAAGACTCAAAACCAGTTAGCTGATTTATTGACCAAACCACTTGGATCAGATCGT